TGGGGGTAGTTAATGTGACACATAGTTTGTCAAAAATGAGCAAAACCAGATTGGTGTGTGAGATTGTTGCCTGATAAAGCATAATTACAAAGAGTAAAAGCTGGCAGTTCCTTTAAGTCCAGCAATGCAAACAACCAACTTATATGTGGGGAGATCACATGTTTATGTCTACTTATTATATGTACTATTTGCGAAGGATGTACAGATTCTGTAGCATTGAGTGCAAGGAGATAATTGTGTGATCATTTGGGTCTTGTCTGCACTTTTCACAGCTGTAAATGCTTCAAAAGAAATGTCCTGTTTTTCGAAATTGGTTGTAACCTTTATTGTACCACGGGTTTCATCATATTAACAACCATCAGTCTTTCTGAAATGCTGTTCGTAAGTACTGACAAAGTTCTAAGAATTAAGTGTCTTTTGCAAAAGATTGTATTGACTCCCTTTTCCCCCTCACTTCAATTTAAAGGAAATGTGTTTGTTTTTAGCTGATTGAAATTTGTCCACCCTCTTCTCTCTCACACCCCTACCCTCAGGAAAGGTCAATTATTTGGAATGCATTCAATTCTTTCAGGCACACCTTGGCCAAAAGCTGATTAAACCTATATTTACAGCTACAAATTATTTTTTCCTTTGCAGGGATATAGAGAAAATGTTCGTACTCGATAGAGAATCAATTAAGGAAATATTTTTACATATCAATTCATGCTGCATAAATGAGCCCCATCCAAATTACTGGGCAGTGTACTATTCAGTAAAGAAATGATGCAAACCAACGGATAAGAGTAATTAACGTGACATCCGTACTGGAAAAAATGCTTAAGAGTGTTTTACAAGAAGTTGCAAATGTTTATCTGAAGTGTAGGCCTTGCAGAGGATTTAATATGGATTTAGAAATAATAGTTTATTCCTCGCAAATTTCAAAAAAGTCTTTTCAAAATTTTGCATTGATTTACATTTTGATCGAATTGTACATTTTATGTAGAAATTCACACTTTCATATGGTTGTCTGTTGATATGGGTTTAATGTGCTTGGACATTGTTTGTTTTGGGGAATTGAGATATGTTACAAATCAGTGGTCCTGAAGGATGTTGAGGTAAGAGGTCATTTGGGATCTTTCTTATCTTGTTTTGATAGTGCTGTTGGGTTGGGTTCCTTTCACTTTATGATGCCTCATGTGGTACCACATCTAGGATCGACTATGCCAGCTCCCTGCTTGTCGGCCTTCCCAACTCTTCTCTCCACAAGTTGCAGATCATCCTGAACTCTGCAGCTCGTGTCCTCTCCCGTATCAAGCTCCGTGACCCAACCACTCCCACACTATCCTCCTCAGGCCCAGAGGATAGAGTTCAAAATTCTCGTCCTCACCTTCAAGGCCTTCCATAGCCTTGCCCTCCCTACCTCTGTGACCTGCTGACCCCATAACAACCTGTCCACTCCCTCTGCTCAGCAGGATGTAACCTGCTCCACGCCACCATCGGCCCGCTCCACGCCACCATCAGCAGTTGGGCCTTCAACCTTTCTGCCCTCACCCTATGGAATTCCATCCCACATTCCCTTCTCCTCACTCCCTCACCTCCTTCAAGGTGCATCTCAAAACCATCTTCAACTGAGCCTTCGGCTATCCTCCTTCCCTCCCTGCCCTCCACCCTCCCTGATTCCGACCCGCAGCTCAGGTCCAAATCCCTCACTGTCCAGCGCCTTGGGTCGTCCTCCCAACGTGAAAGGCACTATACAAATGTAATTTTGTATTATATATTACCCTTCTCCTCACAGCTTCCCATCTGGAAGTGGACACAGTCTTCTTGGAGGGACACACCCTATTCACTTAAATTTGGAGAGGATTAGGCACAGGTTGGTGAGAGCCAAGGTTAGAGAACCCCATAGTGTGTTATGGATTAGGGTGCTGTGGGAGATTAAGCAGCCCACAAAATTTACCTTGCAGTTGAGAGAACGGGCTGGCAAGCTTCCCGCTGCTTGTTCAGCTCGGCTCTGCTACCCCTTTGGGGCCTTAGCATGCAGAGTTAACAGGAGCCAAATAGGAAGAATTCCTGCTTCAGATAACCAGTTTGCCTCTCCTGGTCCTGTTGACGAGCCATGCTAGTTGGTTTGTCATCAGCAGTGCCCTGGAGTGCTGCGTACCTGCTTGGTCCAGAAACCAAACTAACAAGACAACTACAAAGGGCTGAGTCAATTCTGACATTTTATTAAATCCCTACCTATTTGAGGATCATACCAATCAAGGTAGATACCAAACCCTCGATATATGAGCATGTGTTCATCAACCCAGATTCCAAGTAATACCCTTCAGCCACTGTGATCTCAAAACTCTTTCCTCAGCAGCTATTTGATGGGCATCTGTCTTCAGTGTTGTGGGAGGATCTACACAGGACAGAGTGTGATGTGCCAGTCACCTTGATGTTCCAGAGGTCTAAGTACAATGGCACAGACTGAATACTCGATCTGGATTAAGCATATGGAACTTAAACCATATGGTTAATCCAGATCCTCACATGAAGGTAGTGTAGCTGATTCCACTTCCGGGATGCTCAAGAACAGGTCAATGTAGGCCAGAGCCTCCCTTCCTTCAACTGCTTCCCACTTGTACTAGTTTGCTTGGTTCTAGATTTGAATTCCACCAGGCCCAAATAACCTTTCCACTCTGTTGAGATTCATTCAATGATTCAATACAATTATTCAGAGAGAAAAAGGGAAATTGGGTCTTCCTGAGCCAAACTAGTTTTCGGGACATGTTTGGCAAAGTCAGGCAATCTGCTGTAATCAGACATGCTGTTAATGGTTGACTATCTGTTTTATCAATGAGAGTTTGAGGTATAAATGTGTTTTGTGAGTCGAAGGGATCAGGTGGTCCTATCTGAATAAATACCAAGCTATGAAGTTACCACTTGTTTCACATATAGGCTTAGGCTTAGCAGCCAGTGGAATTAGACCATCACCCTGCCAATTTACATTTGATTTAAACAGGTCACCTCAGTTGTTTTTATTATACTGCTCTGGAGGATTTAATTTAAAATTCCAGCTAGCTAAGTTTTTTTTAAGTACACAGAAGAGATTTGAATGCTGCCCTGACCAATACACCATCTCAGCAGCTGGGAGACTCTGCATTCACTGTTGTAGGCATGAAGGAATATTCAACTGAACGGTGGGACATCACACCCAGCTGCTGAAAACGTAGGGCATTGACTGGAAAGTGGAGGATCTGAGCAATAAATAACCCATAGGCAAATTGAGGGTAGAAAATAATGTGTGATGTTACAAATAAAATAATGTCTGTGTTGCTTCATGGATAAACCATAGCAAAATCTTGCCTAAGAGTATTTCTCAATGAGGTGGCCATTCAGTGATGACATAACCCTCTTCTACAGTGCGCATTTGTTTATGTGTAGTTGCTTTATCCTGCTACAGAAGATTACTGACAACATCCAATTCTCAGTGTAGTCTGACTTGAGAACTATTCATCTTCCCTACAACTAAGCTGGCTCTGTAAACAAACTGCTCATGAATCTGAGACCATTTTGAGTTTTCTGTAAACAGGGACATTCAGACATCCACTGTCTGTTTCTGGTGTACTTCAAAATTGAGTGATATTGAAAGCAGAATTAGTAAATGTATTATTAAATCATTTATCACTTAGAGGCGCGTAAGAGTACCACAATATAGAAAGTGTACAAATACATACAGTACTTATTTTGCTTTCACTACTTGATGATTTATTGATACTTTAATGTTGCAAGAAAATTAATCAAATTCCAAAAACTGAAAATTGCTTTTAATGTATGAATATATTACGTATTTGAAAACCCGATTACAATTGGAAATTTAATTCATTAGATAGCTTGTATCTAATTTTCCTGAGAGGTACAGCTGCACATGAAGTATGTGAATTCACCATCACCACCACCCTCCAGGTCACTGTAACCCATATGATTCCACCACCTTCAGCAGTATTACGAGTACTAACCAAGTTAGCCACTGAATTCTAGAAGTAAAAGCAGTAAAGTTGCTAATCCGCATTCCAGGTAATGTCTTCCAGCAATTGACAGCCCAAGCTGTCTTGTCACTTTTTTAACAAAAGTCTTTCTGTATGTTGGTGGAAAGACCTTTACAGGTCAGCTTATCGTGTGCCACCCACCTTGAAGTTCTTGAAATCCCAATGTTGTGTACTAGGCTTGCTTTGGCAGCATTGCTTATACCTCCAGGGTGCAGAGTGACAGTTATAGGTCAGAATATTTTCTCCCTACAGCCTTTTGGCTTTTTTTCAAGGATTCCAGAAAATGTCCCAATGTAAGTATTTGGATGGTCGGGGAATCTTTCAGCATCTGTTTGAATCAGATCATTTTGAACAATCTTGATTTTCATAATGCATTAGTAGAAATAACTAATATTTTAAAATGCTATCAGTGACATACAGTAGATTATAGCTATTGTATGCAATGTTTAAACTCTATTGCATTGTATCTGTAAACTTGCCAGTGCTATTCACTCACTTTGGTTTAAAAAAAATAACCTATCTTTAGGTTTGTGTGTGTGTCTCAACAAAATAAACTGAGCACTATAGGGTTGAATACATTTGCAAGCTCATGTCACTTTTGCTCATATAGTGCATGATTCGAAATTGATCTGAAAAGCATTAAAGAAGTAATGCTCTCAATGCGGAAAGAGAACTTCTAGAACAGGTGCAGGTGCGCATGTTTTTAATCATGATGACACCATGTACAAATGACAGTGGTTTGATGCAATTAATTTTATGGATGTGAATTATGTCAATGTGTGTCGAACACCAAAAAGTGTTAAATGCATCATATTAGAAGATAGAGCTTTACAGGAGGAAACTAGTTGGGGTTTTACGGTGTTAAAAACTTAATTATTTTTAAATCAAACTGTGACTTTAAGCATTTTTCCAATTGACACAGCTCTTTATGTGATGCAGATGTGCAAACACTGAAGTCTTACTGAACTGTGTATATTTTGTTCCCCATAGTTGACCTGGAGCACATGCGAACTGTGAAGGCGGACAAGCATCAACGCTTTTGCCATGAAAACAACATCAGTAGTTATTTTGTCTCTGCCAAAACTGGAGACTCTGTAAGTTTAAGCCACCTCTGTGTCATATTCAACAGGTTGGAACTGTTTACATGAATTGCAATTCTAGGATTCGACCGAGGGTAAAAGAACTAGACCCTGTGCCTTGTTTTGCCTATCTGGTTTGAATCTCTGCAGTAGTAATGTGGGAGGCATTTCCACCTGATTGATTCCTGGATTATTTTGTGCACCAGTGATATGTTTACAGTGTAAAAGTGAGAAATGGGTATGTTTGTTGTCTGCTATTAAAAGGATGATGATCTCTTAACTTTGGTCAATAGTACTAATACTGACAAAAACAAGACTTAAGTGCATAGATGTCCTGGACTGGCGCCATCACACACACAATTCAAGACAAATGAAGATAGACGACTTTGGTGATAAATTGCTGTTGAACATTTGCTACAAAAGCTGAGTTGATATAGGTCTTGTTTGCCAGTTACTTACTTTTCAACTAGAATTAGTTTAATAACTGCCATTGTGATGTACAGTAACAACTGTATTAGCAAACAGATCATTTCAGCATTGATCAGTTTCTAAATGGCTATAATAGTTTTTGACACTATAGATGGTTGAATCAAATGTATCGTACTATTAATGATTTTTTTTTACTCCAGTATCATATGCAACATAATAAAAATGATCCTGGCATCGGGTATCATTTTAAATGGTTCTGATCTCCTGTTCTTCCTCGCTTGCCAGCACGTGCATTGCACATGTAAGGAGATACTTTCTTGGTTCAGAGCACAGGGTAAATTCTGGCATGATTGAATTGACCTCTAGTGTAAAAGGGGTAGCTAAATGTAGATTCTATATAATATTACCTTCAAACACTCCATTAGCTTGATTTAGAGTAATCTGAAACCTTTTATGCTATATTGATGGAATTATCTTTAACTGAACTAGTCAGAACAGACAGCAATATGTACAGTCCCATTGGATCCCAGTCATGGATTCTTGGCTTGCCACTCGGTATTCTATATTACTCCTGTGCAGTGGTTCATAGGACTTGCAGTATAGGATCAAAAGCAGAGATCGGGAAGCAAACTTATTTTTCTACTCTTAGCTGAGTAATTCAGACGTATATGTTTTAAAAAATCTTGAAAAGTTGTATTTATAGAAAACATGAAACCAAAGTTCCCTTTTCCAAAATTTAGTGGAAGAATATTGTAAACTCCTCTGAGGTAGTTAGAAAAGTAAACTTGTTTCCCGATTTCAGCCTTTGTCCTAAACTGCAAATCCTATGAAACTAATGACTGGGAAGAGGCAGACTGGCAAACAAGGAGGGTATAGAGTATGTAATTGTTGGGATATTCCTTCTACCTAAAACCACAAACAGTCTAAAAGTAAATGAGACAAATCTTATATGCTTTTGTGACTTGAATATTGTTTATTCACCACATATTGGAAGGTACTGAAGTCTGCATCAATATAGTTCATGATCATTACATAAGAGAAACAGCCACATAATTACCTTCTCATTTTAGAAAAGGTAATTGGATATTTGAAAGTAAATACATTTTTAGTTTGTCACTTTTGGGATTAATGTATAAAGCAACCTGTTCAACAGTTTCTTTTTTTTGAAAAAAAAGAACCATTGAGTCATATGATGTGGAGTTTTTGACCTAATCTTTCTTTCATGGAGCACGGAGTGGAGGTTAAGGACTTCCCTTTGCAATAAAGAAAGGATAATTAGAGTGTTATCAGGCGCAGGACCAGTGCAGTGTGGCGAGACTCGGTTTTGATCATTATTTAAACCAACCGTTTGGATCCCTGAACTGCTCCTGGTCTTATTAAGAACTGTGTTAAATTTGAGAAATTTCTAAATCCTGCAAAAATTAAAATTTTAAGCTAACAGTTTTAAGACTATAGACCATGAGGAATTTTGAGCCTCAGATCTGGACCTGTGAACATTTCATTGTGCAATATGTTCATAACAGAAATGGATGGATATATTAGGTTGGACTGCTAAGCTAAATTGGTTGGGATTCTGTTGTTCGTACCAAATTACCTGCTCCTGGAATAACTGGCGAAAAGAACTTGGGAGTCCAATAGTAAACGAAGGTGTTTTAGTTGAATAATACAGTCATATTAAATTATACCCAAATATAATCTTGGGTTATTTCAATATGGTTGAGCAATGGAAATAATGCCCTCATTTTAGAGCTGACCAAGAAACTGCAATGGATAGTATGAAGCTATCTGGCCTATATATGTCTTGACATTGTTCCATGTTATTTTCAGTAGGAGCGTCCAGTCAAACTGTTTATTCCAGCCTGTTGTGTGTGTTTTATTTCACAGTCCTAATCTGCACCAAGATTAGGAGGTGGGAATTGTTATTGAAATTTGTGACCCTTCTGATCCACACAGTTTGCACTTGGCTTACTGAAGTGGAGCAGGCGCAGGTTTTAACAAAAATTAGTTTCCAGCTGTTGTGTAAATAGGATTTTGATAAGCCTTTCCACCCATTAATGTGTTGTCTATGTATGGATGTTAATAGGCTTTCATATTTTTTGTTCTATCCTCCACTTTTTTTAATGCTTCCGCTTTGCCACAAACCACTTTTGAATCGAGGGGAAATATAGTCTTGGGCCTCTGCCAATATTGCTCTTAAGTTGAGCATTGATGCCACATTTATATTACAGAATTATTTTGGATGGAAGATTTAGTGCAGTAATTCAGAGTTATGGAATCTACTCAGTTTACATTATAAGGAACATTGCACAGTACCAAGAGTGACAAGAAAATGACTGTCCATACGTTTTGGTTTAAAAGATGTAAAGATGTATTCACAATTTTCATTTCTGGCTGATGGACCTCACCCAGCATCTGGAGAAATTGCATGCCAGCAATTAAGCGGGCTCAGTGCTCAGCCACCTATAGCCAAAAACAATTACAGCATTTTGGTATGGAAGTATTATATTGTTGCTGCTTAAGTTAATGCTTTGAGATGCTGTGAAAACTAGTTTTTCAAGTGTGTCTTGACATGTCTGAAGGTAGCAACACAGCTTTGTTTACCTTGAAGCACTGCCGCCAATATTAAGGCAGTGGTTGGTGGCCACGTTTTAAGATTAATGTGGCCTAAGTGCTGCATACCTCTCACCCCTCATGCTGCTGAAACACTGGTCCACGCCTTTATTACCTCAAGGCTGGACTACGGGAACTCTCCTCGTTGGCCTTCCCGGCACCTCCCTCCACAAGCTGCAGGTCATTCAGAACTTTACAGCTTGTGTACTGTCCCGCACCAGGCTACGTGACCACAGCACTCCCACCCTTGTTCCCTCCTACTTCTCCAACCTACTATCCCCCTACTTACCTGCCCGTACCCTCCGTTCCTCTGGCTCCGGTCTGCTCCACAACCCCCGCCATAACCGCCCTACCATCGGTGGCCGGGCTCTCAGCCCCTCGGCTCTGGAACTCCATCCCCGAGTGCCTTTGCCTTGCTTCCTCCCTTTCCTCCTTCAAGGCCGGTCTCATGACCTTTCTCTTCAACCGTGCCTTCAGCTCCCCTCTCGACTCTCTACCCCCTCCTCGCTCCCTCCCTTCCCTCCCCTCATCCTGACCATTTCCCCCCTGCTTGGGTCCCGACCCAACTGTCTAGCACCTTGGGACGTCCTCCCGACGTGAAAGGCGCTCTATAAATGCAATCTTGTTGTTGTTGCATAACGATGCCCTAAGGTGAGCTTTCCTTGTTTTTTAAAAATATATCTCCCCAGAAAATCACAAGCACAAATCATAAATTCAAAAGATTATTATTTCTGCCCAACATCAATATCTGTGTATAAATTTCTGGAGAGGTGGAAATAAATTGGAATGTAAACATGAGCTTGTATCCAGAGTTGTAGGTTTTCAAGTAAAGTAAGTCTAATATTCTCTAATAATAACCCACAGAAACCACTGTATATACTCTTAAATCACTGGGATGAACTTTGACCTTGTTCCCACAAACTCCCTACGCACACTAATTGACTGCTGCATTATCAGCAGGATGTGGTTGAGAGAGTAGAAATTGGCCAAATCGACACAAACTAGAGTTGGACCACCCGTCAGCTCCCAATATGTCCAGATAAATGTGATGCTCTGGTTTTATACAAGTTTTTTTTAGATTTTCACTCTTATTGAGACTTGAAAACAACTGCTATAGTAACCTTATATCGAGATTGGTCACCGTATGTACATAGTAGAATAGTAGATTAATAGGAATGAAAAACCTCTATCTTGAATTTTGCTTAAATATCATAGTTAGAACCATTGTTTTATTATTAATTTACACTGGTTTCCTACTTCTAAGCTACAGCAGCCATATGCATTTTCAAAAATACATTTATTTTTAAAAATAATATTTTATAAGATAGCTTCTAACTTAAAATATAATAGTTTATTATGACTACAACAGTTAGATAGCAATGAGTAGTCCATTATTTTTCTCCAGTCTGCATTTTTTCTTAAGATGCAAGCAGCCTTTTTTTAATCTTGAAGAGCATAGGACAACAACAACTTCATTTATATAGCACTCTCATGCCTGGTAGCATCTCAGAGCGCTTGAAATAGAGGACAGTAAACATTAATAGATTATAGTGGATGGCGGGAGGAGAAGTGCCACTTATTTAATGAACCTGTAGTTAAAATGTTAAACAATGTTGTTCGTTGACCTAAAGGTTTGAGATAAAAAATTGGAATGACAATTTCACATTGTCACAACTCTGGATAGATACTGTATCTAACAAAGAGTAAACGAGAGAAATGTGGGGAAAAGGAAGGTAGGTAGATAGGACTGAAAGGATTGCTCTTTAGAAGAGGCAGCACAGCCATGATGGGTCGAATGGGTCTCCCGTGCAGTACATTTCTATGGTTCTAAGGTTCAGAATCCACTATCTTAGTCAAAGTTTGGGAAACCCAAGTAGAAGTGTAAAGCAATACACTTAGCAGAATATCACTTCCTTTGTAAAATATCACATTGACAGACTTTCTATGAAAGTCAAAAAGAGTGTAATTTATACATATACTTTAATGACCTCTTAATAATATGGATTTTCAGCGTTTTTTCCATAGATTTTTAAATACATTAAGATCTCACCTTCACTCACCATTCCCTCTCCCCCGGCACCCTCCACTGCAGCTTGAGTGCCTAGCTAGGACTATGAGGTGCCTTGGGACGTCCTCCTGACATGAAAGGCGCTATGTAAATATAAATTTCTATATATATACTAATAATACTGCGCTTCAAGAAGGATCTCAATAACTGATTGACATAGAGATATAATTTACACCTGATCGGAAAGGTCTTGCATCTGGGAGTGACATGAGCATATTTGTTTTGGGGCATTTCCTATTGTACATGAGTTATTTTCAGTTTTGCGTTTTTCGCTACAGTTACACCTGGTGGCCGCCGAGTCAAAGTGGCGCTGTGGCATCGTGCGTCACAAAGCACGTACGTATGCACGCACTGCAGTTACACCAAGTAGCCATGCCGGCTGACTGTCGTGCTGTGGCAGCCTGAGTCACAGAGCACACACGTATGTACGCACGCACTGCAGTTACACCAAGTGGCCGTGCCGGCTGACTGTGGCGCTGTGGCAACCTGCGTCACAGAGCAGGCACGTAGCCAAGCGGCGCAAACAAAATAAAGAACACAGACAAAGCTAAGACGGGGCAACAAGAACAAAATTACATTTTTAAAGCTCCGAGTCCTCTCGCTGAGTCCTCCCAAATGAGTATAGATAAAGATGCAGTGTCTATCTGTGTGTCAATCTACATTCCATATTGGATCCTTTGTTTGTAAATGTAGCTTCAACAGGTACAGCTTGTATTAAATATTGAGTTTTGATTTAAACTAGTCTAATGCTAAATATTATTGTTTGAGATATGTGGATTAGTGACATTTTGACAGTGTAAATATTTGTTTTGACATAATTTGTGTTTTATTTTAGGTCTTTCTCTGTTTCCAAAGATTTGCTGCTGACATCCTTGGTATCAAGCTGAATAAAGCTGAGATCGAACAATCACAGGTACTGTAAGAGCAGCAAAATTTACAGAATTCTTTTTAGAATACTTTGGTAAATTCTATTAACTCACTAAATAGCTTACCCGTTACTCTCATGCCTCTGTGATGGTCTTGGTTGTCTGGTTCCTGAGCCGGGCAGATCACAGGATTACAGTAGTAATCCACACCTGGATTACACCCCCCACCATTCTTTTAATCTTGCATTTGTAATATATTCTGACTACCAGATACCATCGGTGTATTTTATTAAATTTCCGGTGTTCACATATATATTTATCTCTTATGTAGTATGCCACTTTGAAACGTACTGCATTTTGTGTTATAATGGGTTATAACGTTATAGAGCACTCGTCTCGCAAGCGAGAGACCTGGGTTCAATTCCCTGCAGGGTGAAACGTTGGGCAAGTTTCCTTACTCCACACACCTCTGTTTACCGAGCAGTAAGTAGGAACCCAGTTGTTAGTCAATTGGTTTTCCGGGGATAATAACCCCATCAAAAATACAATAAAATAAAAAAGTCACTCAATCCATGAATGTTTGTGGGACAATGTTGTGCGCAATTGGCTGCCACGTTTCGTCCATAAAATATAGTCAATTCACTTTACAGTATATTCTGTGAAGCACTTTGAGAAGTCTTGAAGACGTGATAAGGCCCTATATCAAATGCAAGGATTATTATATTATGTATTTAGATAAAGTAACTGGGTAAAGATAGTGGGAGAAACTTTTTTTTAATTCACCATCATATTTAGTTAAACATTGTGCTGCAGCAGGAACCAAATGAACAATGAAGGATATTAGCTGTACTGACTTTGGGTTCAGGTTCATAGTAGGTACAGCTCAGAAACAGGCCAATCCAGTCTGGTTAGTGCTTATGCTCAACTCGATTGCTTACACTAGATCCTATCCCTAGTCACATATCCTAGCTTTTTTCCCGATATCCATCAACTTTATTCCCTCTTAACCATATATCCAGTCTTGTTTTTGAATGTGCACATGGATGTCGCCCAACAACTGACTATGGCAGAGAATTACACACTCCCACCTCTCTGTGTGAATTTTTTTTTATAATCTCTGTTCTGGACCTCTCAGTTCTGATTTTAAAATTCTCATCCTGGATCCCCTGACCCTGGAAATAATCTTTCCATACCCACCCTATCTAAGCCTCCCATCATCTTTTACATTTCTATCATGTCTCCTCTCAGTTTTCTGACCACCAAAGAAAAAAGCCACAGTTTATCAAGTCCGTTACTATATGGTGAATGAAAATTCAAAACATGCATTTGTATTGCACCTTTCACATCGCGTAACATTACTGAGTGCTCTACAGGGACAGAATTGGATACTGAGTAAGGGAGAGGGGAGACGGCCAGAGGTGCTTTTTCAATTTGAGTATTTGAGGTGTGACAAAGAGAGCAGGGGGTGTGGGTGATATGGAGCGATAGAGGTACAGTGTTTCAGAGGTTAAGAGCACAGGAACTAAAAGCAATGCCACTGGCACAGAGAGGACAGGGGACGTGCAGCAAGTCCACGTTAGTTGAACACTCAGAGAGGATGAGCAGAGAAGTAGAGTAGCAGAAGATCGGAGAGATAAGGAAATACAAGGGATTAGATGGATTTGTAGGTGAGAATGAGGACCTTGAAATCTACAGGAAGACAATGGAGACCGGCAATTATTTACTGTCTTCTTGAATGTGGAGTCCTGTAGCTCAGTGGTTAGAGCACTTGCCTTGCAAGCGAGACACCTGGGTTCAATTCCAGGCAGAGCGAAACCTTGGGCAAATTTCCTTAATCCACATAGCTAATACTAATCCCTCCAAAAACAAAAACAAAAAAAAATTGGTCATTTTCAATCCACGACTGTTTGTGGGACACTGCTGTGCGCAATTGGCTGCCGCGTTTCGCCCACAAATATACAGTCAATTTACTTTAGTCTATTCTGTGAAGCGCTTTGAGACGTCGAGAAGACGTGAAAAAGCGCTATATCAAATGCAAGGATTATAAATGTATTAACTCTAAAATAAAGGTGACTTTGGTTTTTTTATTTTCTGGTAATAGTTTGTTCAGATCTTACTGAGGTAGGAAAGTTTAACTCCAAAAGTAACCGAAAATTTTGCCGTGAATATTATTGGAAACTTTAAGGTTATCTCGTGAGTTATGCTGTATATTCATGTAAGCAAGGGCAGTAGTTACCAGAGTCATTCTAAAGTGTGTGCAACATATCCAACAGCAGCACAAATCTGAGAGGACAACTCCTGAATGTTATTGCTTTATCAGAAGCCGAAATGAGTCTTGATTTATGACCTATGACAGAAAGAAAATTCCTCTTCACTTTGTTACTCTTTTCAACAAACTGGGACATAAGTTTAAAAAGTTAAGAGAAATATTTTCATTAGGGCATTGACCCTTTGTGGAAGTGGAGAGCCTGATTGTGTGGGATGAAGCTGAGTGCATGTTCACCCACTGTTGCTAGAGTGGCTCCAAATAAAGTAAACCCTGACTGGAACATGCAATTAGACATTGTAGAAGTCTGTGCCTCCAATATCATTAGCATTCCTGTAGCAAGGTAAACATTACCCAAGGGATTACCATGTAACAATAGCAGAAACAGGAACGGTGTAGAACCAGTTTTCAATGTTGAAAAAATGTCTGCAAACAAGAGAAGCACCTGTAGTCAAATTCTGTTTTTGTTGAAAACAATCACTATTTTTAACTAGAAATAATTGACCCTCTATATCTGAAGTAATTGCTTCTTGATGTAGAGATGAGAGAACTCAAGTAATTCTAAATGGATTGGATTATAATTCTGTCCAGTCTTTACCCAGTGATTGATTCAGTCACTATTAACCTCATTCAGTTCATTAGATCCAAAATCTCTAAATCTCTTGTGACTAACTGTCCAAGGTCAAGTATGACAAGACATTATTAATGTAACCCTTACTGTTACAGAGCTGCTCAAAAAAGTTCACCTTTTGAAGAAAATTGCTTTTCTAATATTTAAAAAAATACAATTACTAAAGTTGACATCTATGATAAGGCAATAACATTCAGGAGTTGTCCTCTCAAGTAACTTGGGTCTGTTCTCATGGAGAGCAGTTTTAAAAATGGGAGCCAATTCTAAAGAAATTCCCAAATAAATCTAAATTGTGCGATATATTACGTGCTAATCATCTGTTGCAATTTTAAAAAAAAATTGGAGCACATTGCTAACTAAAGAATTGCACTGCTATTTAATTAAATTGAGCTTGGTTTCTTGTTGCATCAGTGATGGTGTTTTCTTTTACTGAAGGACTGATTAACTTGAGAAATGGCCTCCACATTTTAGTTACCTTATATATGTTATTGTAAAGTTGTGAAACCAGGGATTATGTGAAATCCCTGAAATTTTCAGTAAAATTGTGAAAAGGTGATATCACTGAAATTAGAAGTTTTCAGCTGACAACGACTCCACCTCAAGTAACTCCCCCAAAGAAGCTTTGATCCCACCACTCAGTTACAGAGATGGGGCTGCACACACTGCCGAACCCACCCATTTTGTCAGCTGACATTTCTGCAGGACAACCCAGTCTAATCGAGGTCATTGAGGCACCCACTACCAGTGCATCTGTTTCTCCAGTATCCAGTGCCACAGATCCACCACAGCTTAACCCCGTTATCTCCATGTCTACTACAATAGAGATGTCCAGTGGTCCTCTTGTTCAGAATACTATTTCACATGCCCTGGAAGATCGCATGAATTTCATCAGCTCAGAAAGCAGAGTGCTGCTGCACATATAGCACAAGTAGCACAGGCAAGAGAGGATGGAGCTGCAGAGTCGGCTGGATCATCAAGCTGTTACACCTGGAGACAAAGTGGCTGTCCCCATCCCAGTAGTGGACAGGAGTAGAGGAGATCCCAGGAACATCCTTGGTGTTACCATTAATAGAGATATAGACACTGACCAGTGCAAGATAGCAGTGAAGGCCGATATTCAGGAACCAATTTGATTTCTGCCCACAATGATTGTTAACAGAAACCTACGTTAAGAATATAAGAACATAAGAATTAGGAGCAGGACTAGGCCATTCGGCCCCTCGAGCCTGCCCCACCGTTCGATAAGATCATGGCTGATCTTCAGACCTAAATTTAATTACCTGCCCTATCCCCATATCCCCTAATCCCTCTTTTTTTAAAAATCTATCAGTCTCAGCCTTGAAGATGTTCAAGGACTGAGCATCTACAGCCTTCTGGCTGAGTGAAGAAATGTTTCCTCAACTCTGTTCTAAAAGGCTGACCATTAATTTTAAGACTGTGACCCCTGGTTATAGATTCTCCTACCAGGGGAAACAGATCCTCAGTGTCTACTTTATCAGCCCTTTAAGAATCTTATATGTTTCAATAAGATCTCCCCTAATTCTTCTGTACTCTAGAGAATACAGCCCTAGTTTATCCAGCCTATCTTCATAGGTCAGTCGCCTCATCTCAGGAACTAACCGAGTGAATCTACGCTGCACCCCCTCTAGGGCAAGTATGTCCTTTTTTAAATAAGGAGACCAAAACTGCACACAATACTCTAGGTGTGGTCTCACCAGGGCCCTATACAGTTGCAGCAAGACTTCCCTACTCTTGTACTCTAAACCTTAACCAGGAGAAGTCAATGTCACTCCGTCAAATTGTCATTGTACAGTCTGTTTGTGGTGGACAAGGCTTTATAAAGTGTAACTGCGGTCAGAAGAAATGTCAAACCAACCATTGTAAATGCTTCAAAGCAAAGCTAAAATGTAACTCCCCGTGTCATGGAAGCCTCGTTTGTGTTAACAATGAACATTTTACTCATCAGTGAATGAAATGTCACGTGAAGCTTATGGTGAATAGAATATTAATTTTCATAATGTGTTCATTTTTTAATCGTGGCAACAAGTGTCAAGGCAAGGTTATCAATATGATGAAATTATCACTTTTTCATAAAATCCCTAACTCCTAATTTCAGTGATTTCATGGTGTCACAACTTCACTGAAAATTT